CTGGCAATAATTGCTTTCAGTTTTATAATTATCTTTTCTTTTCTGTTGTCTTTATTCTCTCCTTACTTTTTTCAGGAAAGAAAGACCAAAGCTTAACACACGTGACGAAAAAGAAGAAAAGGTGTTCAAAATGCACCAAACTTCCGGTTTCGTCTCCAGTCGTGTGCAATGTTTCTATGCCAGCCTGAACAATGGATCTGAGCAGACACGTCTTCCTGGGTTGGTTTTTTTTTCCCTTTTTTTCCTTTTTTTTTTTGAGTGAAGTTTCAAAAAACGTAAATATAATCCTGTTGAAATTTCTTTTCAAACCTTGTTTTATGCCAAGTTTTCAAGAAAGTGATGTGTTTCTAAAAATGTTCTATCCAGATTTCCACTGTTGATAAATCCACCTACATATTCTGACCTTAAAAAATCCGATCATCATTCTTTTCGGTGTTCGATTTTTTCGATAGCTTTTGATATGACGTTTGCAATTTAGAAAACTGGAAAAGTTCTTAAATAACTGAACTCGATTAGAACTCTAATAAAAACGTTGTCCTTTGAAATGAATGGCTTGAGTTCATAACATCATTCTCGATTTATTCTAGTTATAGTTCAAACTATCATTCTTACAAAGCTTCAATATTAAATCAGACTAATAAAAGGTGAAGTGTCAGAAAGATTGTGCTTGTTTGATGTAATTGTATAGAGTTCTGCAAACTCTCCTTATACATTTATTATATAATTGGTCTAGCGGAATTGTTTAAAAGGCGAGATGGAGCAGTGTAGTTAGTTCAAGTTTAGTTTATTTCTATGAATACTACAAATTTTTTTTTCATTTCAACAATTTCCGACGTTTTGTGTTTCTTGGCAGAGTAAATGAAGTCACAACTGCATTTTCCGGAATAGCTTTTTTTACAAGTTGTGATCATTTTAGGTATCAAGAACATGTAAAAATATACAGAGACCCTTTTAACTATCTTCTTTGAGCCGATGTATCTCGGTTATCTCGGTTGTTGTGAAACGCATCGAAAAATAGTAAACAGACAAAAAGTTTTTATTATTATTATAATAAGCATTTTGTCAGTTGCACACTTTTCACTATCCTCCACACAAACCGAGACATCTAGGCCATAAAAACTACAATTTGGGTGCCATTCTGATAAAATGTTCACGGAAACTTGAATGCATCAGACAAGACCCCACCTTGTGATTTAATTATCTCAATTTCAGTAAACGTTTGAAAAAAATGGTAAACTAAAAAGACGTTGGCTAAGTTATGACAAACATCCCAACCATTGACACCTTTTTCATATCTTTCCATGGAACCGAGATAATTGAGCTTGAAGTGATTTCATGGTGGCGTTCTTTTAGAACATTACTGTGGCTATAAATCAGAAATCTGACCCTGGAAATTTCCTAGATTGTATATTGGAGTTAGAATAGTTATAGGCCTAATCTTCCAGTTTCAAACATGAAAATGCTAAAATTAGGTTATCCACTGACGTTGTGAATGGATTAGGGATGTTCAGCTATTTTGGTTCCGTGGAGATTCTTTTTTTTCATCTCCAGAGGATTAGTGATCACTTTTGTTGAAAATCATGTACTATTTTTTTTGCACCCTTGTGAAAACAACTTTTTTCTGCAAAACTTGTACTTTCTGACTTAAAAAAAAACAAGAACTAGACTGTAGCCCTTGTCTAAGACCTATTCCATATTTTTCCAGAATAAGTACTTTCTTCTCTGGTTATTTGTCACCGACACGCTCATTTTGTTCCCACCAGTTCCTTGGTATTCTGATCAACGATTTTCTCTCGTTTTTAATAGTATCTGATAAACTCTTATCATCTGCAATTTGCGACTAATTGTCATAGAAAAAACTACCAACGCGACCACCACGTGATTATTGCATTTGTAAGCGTGACCATCAGTCTTTGCAACAATGTCAGTAGTTGACAGTTTTTTTCTTCTTCTCCTTCTTGAGTTTTTTTCATGGTGTATCGCAAGAAAATCTAGTGGAACGTCCTTGATCCGTTCAGATAATCGGCATTTGTAGATGGGACAAGATTACAACTCTGATCCACGTTCATTTGGTATTTTATATCTTTTTTCCTCTTTCAGGCACAGAATTCACACACACAAAAACAATTCTGCAGGAGTCAATGACTGAATATTGAGAGAGAGAAAAGTACTAGGGAAGAGGCGCGTGGTTTCAATGTGGCGCCTATTTGTGAGAGTGTGTGATTCAATTTGCCCTCCCTGTTTTTTTGGTGTCTCTGTGTAAACTGATCTTAAATGAAAACCAGAAAAAAAAAATCGACCACAAATTTTCTTCCACCAATCACAAAGTGAACCGATCATTGCTCTGCAATAACTATTTTTTCATTGAATATCTTTTTCATAAACTTTTATCAGTATGAGATGCTGCACACAAACTATAAACTGATTACTATTTATGCCTTTTCCTGTTCATTGCAAGTTTATCACATTCCGTTTCCGCTCCGTCAGCGAATTCCGTAAACCAACGTTTTTAGAGATCAAAAATTTCAAATAATTGAATTTGAGTACATCAAAATTTCTTGATTCTTAGTATAGTAAGTCAGATTTTCTGAAAATCAGAAAAGCACCTGTGTGATTTTTTGAAGAAATTCGTTCTATCCTTCAAGCAAAATTGTGACTTCCAGTTTTTGATCAAAAATTGTTTTCTGCCAAAAAGATGAATTCATCGGAATTTTGTTTGCTCTGTTCTGCTCCGAAAGGATCCATTTCTTGAATTTCACGCGCATGTAAACCGACGGGATATGACGTCAACTGTATTCCATTTCAACGATTTTTAAAAATTGAACCCTTAAGAACAATTTTTCGAATCACCGCTTTTTACGTTTTTTTCAGGTGGCCCGTTACTATACAAAAACAACAACCTGTGTCTATGTTTGGCCCATTTGCCAACACAAAACTAATATTGACTACAAAAAGTGGGAAACCATTTTTTGTATTCTCCTTCACACTTTCAGTAATAAGGCACTTGTATTTCAAGAATCTTTTCTTCCACCTCTTTTACTTCATCAAGATTTTCTCATATGCCAATTAATGTCTATTGAATTTAACGTTTCTTCTAGTTCTTCAATCAAATGTTCAATTTCACTTCACCCGTGAATTCAACGTGTTTTCTGCATGACATTATATCGAACCGATGAAGAAGATATTTATTCCACGCATTTTTTTTCTGCAACTTTCTAACCATGTTGTTATCATGATCGGGAAATGTATTGATTACAGTTGTTCAGACATTAAAATGTTACTTCGTATCATCATCTTTGATACAGAAAAAACTGACTTCTTTTCTGTTCAATTTTTTGTGTTGAGTTTTGTGGTATGAAGGGTTAGAACAAATCAAATATTACGTCCCAGATCACCTGCATTTTCCCGTAGCACGTTTTATATGAATACGACTAATTTGAATTAAAAAAAAACAAACTATAGTGAAATATGAACTTTTGTGAAATTCGAACGTTTTTGTTCTCGTTTTTCAACTCACGTGCTTTAGTGTTATCTGAAGTTTTTTTAGTGAATTTTTGCAAGTCACTCCGATTGGTCGTTCTGAGTTGTATCTATTGAAGAATTTTCAACTTTCATGCAGTTTTGGGTTAGTGACCTACTGCAAACAGAATTGAAACATTACATTTCAAAAAGAACCTAAAAAAAGTAACCAAAAATTGATCGAACAGAGCTTCGAAATTTTTGCTTCTCCGTTCTCGGTTTCATTCGCCAATAGACTCCCAAAAAACCTCAGTTCCGGTTACATGCTTATTTTTAATGCTGTGGTATTTCAAGTCAGTTCTGAACTGAAAACTGGTTTGAGAAAAACATCAAGCTGCAGTGTCCGGCAAAAGGTTTTTCATTTTACCTGTTTTGGATAATAATAGGCAAATTTGCACTCCTAAAAATACAGTAGACATTTCCGGAAGATACTGAAATTGAAAACTTACACAAATAGCACTGAGTTCAGAGTCACGATAAACTGTTTATTTTTATTTGATTTCGATGAATTTGTAAAAAAAGTTTCTAACTATAAAAAGGCAGTTTTATTTTTGTTTTGTAGAACTAGAAATGTTCAATCTTATATAACTGAATACTTTTTCACATCCAAATTCGTACTTTACTATGTAGGTCAAATTAATACTTCTGGCCGGTTCTGTATACTGTTCAAATCACAATTATTGAAAATCTAGTTTTGCTCTTTGAAAGTTTTCGATCAGCTTTTCCAAAATTTTAATTTTTTCAGCGAATTTGCAAACACAAATATATTTGACCTTGAGACGCCTCACATTTCGCAATTAACGGACCTTCTCAATACCTACTACATCGTAGTGCGAAGAGCACTCCAATGAACAATAAGACGGTGTAGCAGTGTTCTTCTCTTGACACATGTCTCTCTTCTCATCATCTTGATTCTTCTCTAAACACTCTTTTCTCTGACACACGTTGTTGCCATTTCCCAATCACGTGTGCACCGGGAATATTCATTTCTCACGGTGAACTTGCAATTTTCTCAATTTTCCCCACACCAGCTCCTGCTTTATTGTTCTAGATTGTTTCGGGAAGAGAAAACGGGAATCAATTTAGGGGAAATGATAGGAAGGGACAGTTTTGCTGACTATCACGCCACATTCGTCTATTGATTTGACGTGCTTCTTACCCTTTTTTCTACTGATAAGAGATCTCGATGTGTCTGACCGACGCATTTTTCGAAAAGTGAAGAAAGTTTGCACTTTTCCTAAAAAAAAACTGTTCAACGGCGTATCATTTGATGTATCTTTCCCCGATCATTCGAACAGAGAGACGGAGAGGATTGGGGAAAGAAACAAAACACACGTTAGTTTTACCTTCATTCCTTTCCTTCACGTCCCGCTCTCTTGATTGTTTTGTTTGCCTTCTTGTCTTCTTCTCATTTCACCCCAAACGTCCGCCACCCCGAAAACCCTACTTTATTGATTTCTTCACCTTATTACAGAGGTCAAATGTTGGGGACCTACAACACGGAGACCAAGCCCGACCTCTTGGACGGTAAGCGTTTTTGAATTAGAATTGCTATTTTTTTGTATTTTTCAGGAAAGGACAGTTCCATTTGCCATATTTGTAGCGACGTGGCCACTGGAAGACACTACGGAGCAATCGCTTGCAACGGATGTAAAGGATTTTTCCGGAGGACCGTAAGAAGAAATTATGACTATCACTGCAGATTTGAATCCAAGTGCGATATTGATAAACGTAGGTTTTTCACAATTATCATGGCTCGAGTTGTGATAATTTCAGATAATCGAGCAGTTTGTCGATACTGTCGGTTTATGAAATGCATAGCTTCTGGGATGAGAGATGATCAAGTTCAAAGTGAACGGGATGTTATTGGGAAACGGTACGTTTTTAATTTCAATTCTATGAAATTCGCCAGTTTTTTTTCATGCACCCGAAAATTGCAGAGAGAAAAAAGACAATGTCAAAACCTACACGGCACATGATCCAACACCGAGAACATCTCCAGAACTCGCTTTATCACCTAATGAAGACTATGAGCAGCTCCTAGAAAGTCTTTTAAAATCAGAGATGACAATTCAAAGTCTCCGAGAAACAGTGATCACTCAGACCGGAAACGTGGAATACACCACGAAATCCAAGAATGTTTGTTTTTTGACTATACTTTATTTTTCATTTGAAAAAATTAAATCGGTTTCAAATTTCAGCGACTTGCAAATGCGGATAGCACTGCGACACTGAACGATGTTCTCAAATCCATGCATAGTCAGCTTTTGTTGGTTATAGAATGGGCCAAAACAATTCCAGAATTCACGCAACTTTCTGGGGCAGATCAGGTTAGCAAAAGAAAGCATTAAAAAAAATGCAAAAGTTCACTGCTAGTTTCTGTGCTTCAAGAAAAGCGGATTGAGAAAAATTGTGATAAGAGGACGTGAAATTCCATTGCCCATGTGTTCTGCTGGTTTTTGAAACCTACCGAGAAATAATATAAAAAAAATATTTTCAGGCTGTTCTTCTTAAAAACTTTGCTGGACAACACGTGACCCTCTGCGTGGCTTATCGCTCTGTTGGAGCAAATGATGCATTAAAATTACTCAACGATTTGTACATTCCAAGAGCTTCAAAAACAACACCACATTTGAAAGAATAGTAAGAATGAATATAGAAATTTAAAAATGTAAAAATGTTTCAGTGTTGATGGATTCTATTTGAGAGACTGTGAAAAGGTTATGGATCAGTTGGTGGAGCCAATGCGGTTTTTGAAACTTGATAATAAGGAATTTGTCGCTCTCAAGGCTTGTGTTCTGTTCAACCCAGGTAAATTCAAAATGCACATTTTGTTCAAACGAATTTTCAAAACCCTCAAATTTCAGTTGCTCCGGGTCTCTCCCCACCTGCTTGTAATTTGGTACTCAGTGCCAGAAGGAAGTTTTTCGCAGCTTTTGAAAAATATGTGAAAGTCAACAAGCCATTGGAAACAACACGAGTTGGAGATCTAACCTTTTTCTTGCTCACACCACTTTCCGTAAGTCTTTTTAGCGAAAAAATCTGAAAATTAAAAAAAATTGATTTTCAGGTTCTATCGAAATCCATTTCTGAAGATATCATGTTCACCAAAGTCAGTGGTGTTGCTAGAATAGACGTTTTGATGGAAGAGTTGATTTTAGCAGAAACAGATTATGGAGAGGATAGACAAGGTAAAGAAGATATAAGATGACCCCATTTTTTATACCGTATGAAGCCGTTTCAGATCAAACCCCATGTTCAGTGATTAATGACACGCCATCATGCAGCCAGGACATTTGTGGAATCCTTCCAGATGATCTTCTTCGGACTTCAACTTCCAGCAACTCTCCCACTAACTCGTGAGTCATTCTTTTGCTAAGAAAACAGTCTACTGTCTAGTGCTCAGTGAGCAAACACCAATTGTGCGATCTTTTTGAACCTCCGTTCTTCTTTTTGATACTTTGCTCCATTTTGATACTCCTACGTCTATCTTGCTGCAAAAAAGCTTCGGCCATTGACGCGAACGAAATTGTGGATAAGGTACATAACGTGAGGGGAATCTGATAAGTTAGAATTATGAATCACCTATCAAATCAGTGATTTTGTAAAAAAATTTAGGTTATAAAAGGACACATCCCTATCACACTTCATCCGACTTTGTTCCATCCTAGATGGGCCATCTATGTTCTTGGTCATTTGAACAACAAAATATCTAATAGTTTTTTCTTGTTTATCCCCCCGTTGGGATTCCCCACGCGCGTTCAATAATCCCATAATTTCTCACAAATCAACTTTTTCAAACTCCCTAGCGTTTCATAACAATACCACCATGTTGGAAATTTCTTACGTTTTTCTTATTCTTTTGGGAATCGTCATACACTTCAAAAATTCCATCATAAATCAAACTAACGGCTAGGCATCAATGATGAAAAAAAGTCTGGAATGGGCGAATTGAAATTTTAGTGTCTTTTTTGCAGAAACTTGTCAGCTGGGCTGATGCTCAAAACCGATGATGTGATCATGTCAGGCATCGCAGCACAATACACAAATTCACAGTAAGAAAATTTTGAAGATTTACTGAAAACAAGGTGGCGCATAATTAACCGGCCTAATAATTTTATCGTCTCCGAGCAAAGTTATCAATTGTGAAATTTTCGGCACTCTTTTAGAATCACGGAACAAAAAATAAAATCACGGAACGAAAATTTTGGGTAATCCAAAAATGCTATCTTCTTTACTTTGACAAGTAGTATCCGAAATACTAACTTTTGCATCAATTTTACATTGTTTAATACCCGAAAGTATACTAAAAAAGGGTATTTCTCAAGATACGTTAGTTAACAGGGTACATAGGACCTGTAGAACATCTGAAAATTCAGTTTGAAGCTACATCGAGCAGTTATTGAGCTTGCTGACATTTTAGGGTGTTCCAGATAAAAGAAGCATGGCGTTTCAGCCTAAGCCTGTGATTGAAGAAAGCTTCCTCAATCCAAAAATATCATCCAGTTTTTGAAAAATGAAAAATCCGAGGCAAGAAATTTCATGCCAAGATTTCTACTCAATTTGGCCCAAGGATATTCTTATTCCGGACCAACATTTTGTTCCAAGATGACATATTTGAATTAGTTTTGAATTAGAAAAGATTTCTTCAATTATAGGCTTAGGCTGAATCATCGTGTTTCCTTCATCTGGGACACCCAAAAAACGACGGCAAGTTTAATAACTCTGCTCGTTGCAGCCTCTAATCTAACTCTCATATGTCCCATGATCCTCAGAACATCTGGGAAAGGTTCTAGGTAACCTATTAACCATGTATACTATCAACTAGTGTACCTTAAGGACTCAATATACCAAATTTCGGGTGTCATTTTGGATACTGAGCAAAGAAAATGTAATGTCAAGGTTAGATCTCAGGATAGGGTTCGTGAATGAACGTCCTAGAAATTTTTGGATTACCCAAAATTTTCGTTCCGTCATTTTATTTTTCGTTCCGTGATTTTTTCGTTCCGTGATTTTTTGTTCCGTGGTTTTTTGTTCCGTGATTCTAGAAGAGTGCCAAATTTTCTTCATATTACATAACGACGCATAACGACGGGCGACAAACATTACGCCGTTCATTATTAGACAATCATAAGAATACCTAGACGTTTAAAATCAGATTTCCATCAATTTTCGTGCTTCGAAAATTCTTATGTTTCAAGATATACATGATTTTATCGGTCCGGGTGATGTGCGCCACCCTGTACAAAAAAAGATGTCGAAGCGGTTCAAAAATGAAACGGTTCGGAAGAAACATTTTGAATCTGAAAAAAGTTTCTGAAAGAAAGTACCTGTCTAAATCTAACCGTTTCGAGCTCGTTATGCTGAAATCTCACATTTTTTCAGAGCCCACCACACTCCACGATACAACGACACCCCACATGCCAACATTCCCTACACTCAATACAATTCTGTATACAATCAGTATTCGAACGGATATTCTTAAAAATTTCAAAAATCTTTCCTTGTGTTAACATTCACATATTGTCCACTCTCATCTCATGTAGATATCCGTTTCATGTTCTCAAACTGTGATTCTTCTCTCTTACACCGAAAAATCCCCACTCACAAAATTATTACTCGTTTTCCTGGAAATGCCATTGATTTTAATTTCAAAACGGGTGTCTTTTTTACTCATTTAGTTCAGGTTCTATTCACTTCTATTGTTATTTTCCATCTCTGAAGTCAGCCATTTTTCCTACTTTATCATGTTTTTTTCTGAAAAATATTTATACAGTCTCATATTTTGTCTCAATTCCCTTCATCATGAAATTTCTAACTTTTTTCATTTTGGATATTTTCTATTTCCGTAAAACTAGAATCCCCAATCGGAAACGGGTTCTAATTGACGACAAAACTCCAGTCCCGTTTCGGAAGGGTCAAGCGCTTTATTACATTTCGCTCGACATTTGCAGAGTCCTAAAAATGGACCAAGTGAAAGGGAAGTGATGATTCAATCCACTCATGCCTGAAAATTGGATCGAGCCATTTTAATGTCCACTTAAAAAACGTACGTAACCACAAGTTTTTGCGTGGGATCTCCAAAGTGAAAATGGAAAGTTTTTCCCTCCGAATTTTAAATCAGATTATTTGTTCTAACATTCATTATTCATTGACAGGTGAAAGGTGTGTAGTATTTTCGTACTTCTTTCACCCACGTCCCTGAATATTTGGTAATGAAGATGGAATTAGTTCATCCATAAAAGAAAATGTGACCATGTCATGTGCACAAAAATCATACGAAAAGGAGCACCACGTCAGAGGATCACCATTACATTGAACTTTGAGATAGACTGGAAAAAAAGCAAGAACATGAATATGCAAAAAATTACGATGTTGATGAACTTTGTTTTTCTTGCATAATTATGAGAGATGTTCTAGAAAAATTAGCATTTTGGCAGGATGATCATGGAGTCAATGCAAAGTTTTCTACATTCAGAAAATGATATAAGATGGACAAGAAAAATGGTCAGAAACCAACCATTCTACAGAATAAGAATTTAGGGATGAAAATTAGAAATCTCAGAAGAGGCTTTCAGGAAAGGTTAATTCAGGAGAAATTGATAGTTATAGAAGAAAAACTTATTGCAAAATTTCTCTTTTCAAGCTACAGGGTGCGGCAAAAGTACGTGTGCATAACTTTGAAACAAAAAACCCATATTGTCGTTTGCCATACAGGGCTCAAACATATTGCATTTGATACTCAAAGACATTTACAATCTATCTGCCAAATTTTCAAAAAATTCCCACACCCATTCAATAGTTACAACCGTTTGAATTCACTACCCCAGAATTTTTTCTTTTACTTGGACTGCTTTTTTGGGTTTCAGAGTAGGTTGTAAGTAAACTGGAAGGAAAATTCTTTGGAAAGGTATTTTATTGTTAACTGCAAAAAGTGTAGTTTGTAAAAAACAAAACAGTCTATGATTTTCTTGAACTGAGCAGCAATTGTTTTCTCAAAAGTGGTTAAAATTAATTTTCTGCTTCTATATAACTCTGCAACGCAACTTCTATTAATTTCATTCCAGCATGAGTTTAGACCGGACAGATCCTAGTAATTGTGTAAAAACTTTGTTACGATAATGAAAATGAATTTTAGTTTTCGAAAAACATGCTGCTTTTTTAACCAATCAGTAACTACTATTCAGACATGGTTTTTCGCTGATCGTTTAAAACTTCGAAAAAATCGATTCCTCTCGAATTCCTGCCGCTTTGAACAGTTTTGTTGTCAAAACAAAAGATTCATCAAACTGCCTATGCAAGTTGGCCTGCAAGAACGCCTCCTGTTTCATTTATTACTTAACCATACAGTCTCATGTTTCATGCACGTTATAAACAGGACTCATAGTTACTAGAAATCACAATTTCCCAGTCCCGACTTAACCAGTAAAAGAGGTAGAAAAGAGTAATCTTGAAAAAAGCTTCGTGCCTCAAGCAAAGTGTTATCAACCACTTTTCCAATCCTAGCGGGAAAACTAAGAAAACTAATTTATAAAACCAAAGTTATTGTCAAATTTCAGCGTTGAACTTATCTACCTGCCAAGTTTCAAACTTTTCCGATTACTTAGAAGAAAGTTGCTACGACTTGTTTATGCATACGTATTTTTGCCGCACCCTGTATTTTTGAATGATCTATCCGAATAAAAAAGTGTCAGAACAAGACAAGCTTAGTTTTATAACACCAGTACTATCTTGAACTTTTCCCAAATGCAAGTTTGCCGTTTTGAAGTTTAAATCGTCAATATATTTGAAACGTTTCAAATGTTTCTAAGACTACTTCCTCAGACTCACAACTAAAATATTACACGGTAGAATTAAAAACTGAAACATTTCTTTTTTTTTTTGAAGAATTTCATTCCGAAAAAAAAGCTTCACAAATATTCCAATCGAAATTCGACTCCGAAAATATTCGAAATTTTCGAATATTTCGGAATTTAAAAATCTATTCGAAACACCTCTGAACGTTGCTTAAATATGTATAAGAAATCGGCTAGTAAAATAAACTTTTCCCCCATCCGCTCAGACGGTAGCAGCCCGGCCCCTCTAGGGCTTACAAGATGAAGGTCTCGAATGCGAAAATTAAAAAAAAGGTCCCAGACCCACATCTACGTCATACCCAACCTTTTTATTCAGTTTTCGGGCCCTTATACAGCGTTTTAGACACCTTTCTTTTTATTTCATCCACTTAAAAGCCCTCCGACTGGTCATAAACATTATTCTGAAACAAAAGAACAAGGTTTTTTTTCTTGGAACACTATTTAGTTTGTTTTTCTTCCTCATTTTGCGAGCCCCATCTTGTTTTCAAGTCTGAAACGGTGGACGTTTTTTGTTCCATTTTGCCGACATAATCCATTCACCCATACCCTTGTTTTCTCATGTTTAGTTTTTTTTGTGTATTTTATTTTGTGTGTTTTGAATTTTTTTTTTGTCTCAAGTTTGAAATCAAATCATCAACTTTATTTTTTGAAATTTGTCATAAAATCATGCAAAGGCTTCGGTGTGATGAAACTAAAGACTTTATGATTTCACAAGTTTTTCAAGAATAGAAAACTGGTAGCATTTTTCTAAAGGATTCTTAAGAAAAGTTATGCTGTAAACTAGACACTCTCATCACTTTTTATTAATCTCAAAATGTAAAAATCCTCGGAAATCGCAGAAGTTCAAAACGTCTTTTTTTTTGTTCCAAACAAGATAAAATTAATTTCTGAGAAAGCTCTCAAAAATTATAGAACTGGAACATGCGCGTTTTAATCTTGATGAAATGTATATAATCTTTTGTTCCAAAACGTGAGGCATTATGGTTGGCTAGGGGATCATCATGACAATCTTCGTTCAACGTCACAAACGAAGTCTTCTTTTCATTTCATCCCAAAAATTTCATTAATTCAATTTTTCGGCATCGTGCTGTTAACTGATGTGTAATGTACCTAGAACAGCCATAACTCAATCTGACTAGACGAGATCATATTATCACTCTGATGAAAATAACAAATATACAGTGATATCAATGATTGGGTTATCGCCGTCTCCCGAATAAAAACAAAAATAGTAGAAATTCAATTTTCCTAATAATTTTTCTTCAATTATATTACGGTTTTGTTACATTGATCCATTTTACCAGAAAAATGAGCAATTTAAAACCTAGACAAGAAAAGTTATTGCACTTACAACGTGAAACAAAGCACGTTCAAATAGTTGTCCATCAACTGTTCTGTCCTGGAGTTGTCATTTTTCTCGCTGGAGGGACCATGATGTCATTCAATTGAAACGTCGCGCCCACGATTAGGAAATAGACAATAAGGAAATGCATCGGCGAGATTTGTGAACTCTAAATATATTCAATTTTTCTCTATTTTTGACTGACACGTCTACTTGACCCATCTCTTTAGGAGTAGTACTACGACTACTCGTATTTTGATTGGAGTATGTGAGATGGATATGGAAATCGGAACAACCAGATAACGTTGATAGAGAAGGAAAATAAAATTGGTTTTTTTGGTTGAATTCAGAATTCAAAGTTCCGTTTAAAAATACGGAAATTTAATTCCTTTTTTATGGCTTAAGTAAAAACCGTTCCATGATGTATTTTTTGAATTTTCAATTAAATCTTCTATTTCAAGGAGAGAAACGTGGATGGAAACTTGATGGATACCTCACAACCCTAAAATTTGAATTTAGATTGAATGTTCCATTTTCGATTTTGGGTAGATTTATTTCTGGTAAACCACCTACGTAGGTAGGTGGAAGAATGATGAATGACCTGGTGACCTAAAAATTTGAATTTAGATTGAAATCTAATGTCACCCAGAACGTCATGGTCCTCTGGTTTCTAAAAATATACCCATTCTCCTTTTTGGACAAAGACAAGGGAAGAAGAGGAAGTTCTTAGGAACACTTGACGCAAAAAACGTTTTGCTTCTTACAGAGAGCAAAGAATCATCCCGGATAAAGTTTCAGGTTACTCAATCGGTCATGGATGAAAAATTCCTGCACATCCCATAAACAAATGACGAAATCGTAAGATCTATTGTCTCTCTTTGTTCATAAAAACTTGACGACCATCTTAGGGTCTTTATGTGCATTTGACCTATTCATATGGATATGATTAGTGAGCATTGAGGATATATTTTTGATATACATGCTTATTTTATCCCGATCTCAGTTTCCGTTAGTTGACCGGAAATCTGGAAATTCAAGTCACAATGTCAAAAGATATTCGTGTGCTCACGGAAGAATCTGATGTGATGTTAACTGGATTTTCAGACATAATCGAAATTTGTTCAATGATGTCAGTGCTTGACATTTAGAACCCCAAATTTCAAGAAACATCAAATATTGTATTAAACACAAACCAGAAAATTCGAAAATCTGAGTCACATCTCTGAAAAAATATTTGTATTATTGTCCATACATTTTCCTGAGATCTGATTCTTCTCAGAAGTCACTAAATAACCTTCGATGACACAGCGCGTTCAGAATTTAATCAAAACCCTCTGACGTAAATAATATTTTTCCCAGAAAAAAATCCACTGAAAACACATTCCGTATCTGGTATGAAGAATAAATAATGTTTCATTGAATAGTATGACTCCACATACACGTTCCCGAGATAACAACAATCTTTTCAGTGTTTCATTCTCTTTTCTTTCCTCCTGGCTAGACTCTTTTTTTCGATTTTCCAGACTATTTTTACCTAATCTCATATTCAGAACAACTACATCATGGAGGCTGAAAAATGGAATAAAATTAGAGACGTACGCCAGGAGAGATATTTCTGAAACTTCCTAGTCGAAATCAAGTTAAGGTTCTCCGTGGACTTGTCCAGGTGTTTTTGACGTGCCGTTTCTGACACCAAGATTTTGATTCACCTGTCTCCTTATGATTTGATCGAATTTGTTTCTAATTAATTCTAGAATTTGCACCTGATTTTATGTCTTTGTTGTAGTCTTCCCATACTTCTTGTCTTCAATAAGTCCCAGAGTTCATAGATTCGGTTTCTGTTCACTGGGCACCTGGTCACGAACATCAGCACCTACCGTAGATTTGGTGGAAGGTATGGCTCTGACCATGAAGCTCCGCCCCTTTTGTTCCCTGCTCTGGAAACCTCTAGAAACTACACGATATTTCAAAATAAAGAACATCAGCCCTCGGGTGTCCTCAAAACTCCGCCCAGTTGGAAAAATAGCTATTTAAGCTTGAGGGGATGCTGAAACTAAAATTATCTTTCCCACTTTCTCTCCACCTCCCAACCTCTCAATAGCTTTGCCTCTGGCCCAGCTGACCATCTTTCTCGCTTCTGGAACTCTTGAGTGGGAGGTCCTAAGGAACAAAAGATGGATTTTATTTCCGTCTCTCCTCCTTTTTCCATTCTTCGGCCTCCGCTATTTTTGTAAAAGTCCTCTTCACTTTGCTCCCTTGTAGATATATGCTAATAAAACCTCATGAGTCAGTTAGACTTACCATAAACGTGATACAAGGTTTTTCTAGTATAAATTCTGCCAACCTAGACACCCACTCTGGAAAACAAATTCATCATCTAGGCATCTATTTATTTTACTAGTTTTTTTCTACGTTTTAGGTTTTTGAGTTCAACTATATTCGTTTCAATGTTTATTCTTCATCACGAGCTTTTCCCATCTTTTCCGAATTTCCAGAAATCTGCCCTCAGAAATGTCGTCGACTAAGATGTTCATCCTTCTCGCACTCGTCGTGATCGCCTTCCAATTTGTCACCATCTCGGAGGCTCGTAACGCTCCACCAATGACTCGTATCCAGGTAAGAGTATACGTTTTGTATTATTCCATCAGAAGTTCAAGCACATGCCCATCAAATTTTCCAGTAGACTAAGCATATGAAAAACAAGAAGAACATAGAAAGTAATCAAACGGAAGCTATGTCCTTGTAGGTAAAAATGATGTCAGAGGGCGCATTTTTCTCTGCAAAAAAAAACTTCCTATTTTCTCTTTCTGACATTTTAGGCTAGTGGGTGGTAGAGCAAATAAAGGAGTAGAAGGTTTTCTGAGACTAAAATAAATGTGTTTCAGGAGGTCTTCCGCAGTCTCATGGCTCCAGAGGAGATCCGTGGAAAGAAGTACTATCAGCAATACATTCCAAACGCCGGAGACTACTACAACGGATGGTAGATGACAGGCTCCTTTCTCTTCTTCTTTAATTATTTTCAACATATTTTAATTTATCCTTTCTTCCATCTCGATCAACTCACCCATCTCCATCCAACCTCCACAATTACAAAAGACAATGATTTTCAATTCACCCCGCCCTTTTTTATTCTAGAAAGAATCTCATTATTCTAGTTGCCACTGAAAGTCGCACTTGATTGATACTTGACAAAAAGAGAGCATTTGTTAATAAAAAATGTTAATAGCACACGTGTTTTCTTTCTCATTCAAATTCTTACGCCGAGTAGATGTTTAGGGTTCAAGTTTCATTCAACCGAATAAAAATAATAGAGTGTAGGCGACAAGAAAAGTGAGCACTGGGACCGCCTGACTGGGCGACGAATTGCAGTAATCGTTGAAGCATGTACACTTGAGAACACGGGTTCCAAAGAGCGTAGTCTGTTCACACATGTCTACTCCTGAAAATAAAATGGTGGAGGTTTTGTATGGCACACATCAGCAGACAGAAAGCTCACCTCCGAATGGGATCAAAGCACAACCTCGGATCATGGATATGATGCTTCGTTCACGATCGACGAACATTCCCACTGAAAAATGAATGCGTTTTGGGTCCACATGGCATTTCGTATTCGAAAGCTTGACCTGAACTATTTAGGGCAGAAAAAATCTAATTTTTCTACAATACTATTTCAAATAATAATAACGTAGTATATTTCAAAAACAGTAAATGAATTTCACTATTTTGAAGCATCACAGAAATGGTTGAACGAAAAAATCAGCTCAATGTCTAATAATTTTTTTGTGATTTGGCCACATATAGTACCGATCAGTAAGATACACAAAAACACATTTTTTCAGTCGATTTTTGGACATTTTGGCCGTTTTCAGGAGTCTGGAGCTCGGCAGTCAAGTTTCCCATAACTTTAAGTTTTGGAGGTTGAAAACAAATCTAGATGAAACTATGAATACATAAAATTTGTCGAAAATATCTAGTTTCAAGCTGTTCCGAAAGACACCCTTTTTGGCTCTTCTGTACTGAAAACGCGAGAAAACCGGAGTCTTTCAGAAATCGGTAAATAGCTGGAAAACTTGGAATCCTCGAGATTTATTAAATCCAATTTTTCAATTTGTTTTACTCTCACCTGATATTTCAAAATGATCGGAAGCATGACAACCAAGCTCCGGACTTCTTAAAATAGTTAAAATGCCGGAAAAACAACTGAAAATTATGTTCTGTATCTTATTGACCAGTACTGTACATTATGAAACTCACTCTATTTTGATTTTCAAAAAAAAATTAAAGTTTTAGAGAGCCTGATTTCAAGCCCTCCTTGTGCAAACAAGTACCTTTTCAGTTATCGCAAAGTTTCAGAAAACTAGCGAAACGCTACAAAACTTGATATACCTACACCAGTTGGCTAAGTCACTTAAATTATGGGCGGCGATCTGCTAGTCAGCCTTTTTCCAAAGGTTTCAGCTCAATTTTTTGTAGTAAGCACATAAAACCAAAAGACGCTCCCAAGCTTTTTAAAAAATTTTTATTCTCGAATTTGTAGATTCCCTATTAGCTAATGAACACCATTAATATCATGCGTTGGGTGGTCCATAACTATAAACTACACACGTCGCATGCCTTTTTGGCTATTTAAGTGAAAGTCCAGCACAGATAGACACACAGACAGACACACAAAAAGTTTCCATGGTAAGAAGTAAATAGGGATGCCGGAAGTTCAGTGCAATTCTGACAAATTTGAATTCGAAAATAGAAACATGTGCTATTTTAGGTGGAAAACCGGAACTTTGACTTTATGTGTTTTTTTTCAGAAATCATGTTGCTCGGAAAAAAAGGGAATAAGGAAGAAAAACTAACTTTTATCCACTCCACCCGACAATATCGCGATTTTCACACATCCAAACAGTCCGTATTGACAGGAAGTCGCACTGTAGACACATTCGATTCCTTGAGATGAAGTGCATTCGTAGCAATTGATAGAATTAGAGCTGGGTACTAGTAGCAAAAAAACGAATATGGTTGAAATAATGCTATTAGAAACTCTTCTGAAATTCTGTAGCATTTTCGTGCGGGAAATATTGTAAGCATATGCGATGGTGGTTCTCTTATTTGATCAGCATTCCTGGGGAATCGTCTTCTTCTTCTGACTAATACATATGTTATGGTCATTTCTTTTTGAATGTAATCGGTTTGCTTTTCCATTTCTACACATACACGAAGCCATCTGAAAAGAGAAGACGCCCATCCCTTCAAAAGTTGTACTTGTGTTGACTTGTATGCTGCATATTGTGCCGGAATACCATGCTCAATTAATACGAAAGGATATTCCCTCATTACTTCTGCAGCCGTGAGAAAACGGTGATTGTCACAGCGGGCTGCCATAGCGAACAACTAGTGTTCGTCTTAATGGTGGAATGCTCCTTGAATAGGCTCACTCAAATGTTCTTATTCCCGTATAAATCGGATAATGATGGGCACCTCGAAGCAAAGTATCCAAATGTCACGAAAATTGCCCTTGATTATGCGAGTCGCTGAGTGATTTTAGCTCTCTCTCTCTCTCTTCGTCGTTTTCGAAGGTCATGAGAAAATCAAAGTGTTGAGAATGGTGGCTTTGGTGACACACATGTGACACCGGGTAATTTGAATGGAGAAGGTACTGTAGAAATCCTCAAGGTGTTAATTAAAATGTTGCGTGGGATCTAATGTTGCATTGTATTTCTTGCATTTTGCTATATAAACAAAACAATATTTTGTAATCTATCAGAAAAATTTTAGCAATTCTTGTGAAGCCAGACTGGTCGGATGATGACTGTTATGTATAAATCTGTTGCACAGCACGTTGCCACCCCAAAAATTAGTTATTTGCAGATTCGTGATCATTTTCTGAAACTAATTTTAAAAATTCAATTACTCAGACTTTAGTTATTTTGAAAATAGTAACCACCGAGCTGTTTTCATCAATGCAATACAACTTTCAGAAGGTTAACCGGTCAATTTACCCATTTACTTCATAAAGCGGCCCCCTGTAACTTCACCGGGTAATTTGAAGGGGGGAGAGTACTGTAGGAATCCTTGAAGTGTTAATTAAAAATGTTGCCTAGGTTCTAATATTGCATCGAATTTCTTGTGTATTGGTTCATAAGCAAAACAACGTTTTGTAATCTATCCAAGATATTTAAAGGGGTTTTTAGAAGTTTTGAACCCCAGGCTGGTCGGATGAGGGATGTTATGGCTAAATAGGGTATTGTCACCCCTAACTTTGGTTATTTGGAGATTCATGAATTTTTTTTTCTGGACACACCTTTCAGAATTCAGTTTCCCACGCTGTTTCTGGAAAACACCACCAAGCTGTTTTTACCTATTCAAAACAATCTACAGAAGGTTAACCGGTCAATCTTCTCCCGTTATTCTATAAAGTGGTCTCCTATAACTTGTATTGTCTTATGTGCACTCATCTATCTAATCCTTCCCGCGCTTAATTACAAACTCCAAGATTTCCTGAGTCCCCATTATTATTATTTCTGATAGAAAGTACCGTCTTGCGGAAAAGTGTATACTAGGGTGACGGAGCGAAGAGATATAGCTACCTTATCTTCCGATGCCATCCGTTTATCGACAAATCATCTACGTCCCTTCGTCTGAATCGTAAAACGATATATAACCTCGAGTTGACCTTTACAGTACATGGAATGTGTCGCTTTTTAGTGTGAAACTCCCTCAAGGAATGAAGAGCGCGCTATATATTGTAACAGTGTTTGCACGTCTTGAAGTACCCGTACCGTATTTGAGCACACCTTTCCGTCCGGATGGCCAAGACAGTGAAGAACCAGGAAGTCGGATACAATGGAACCCATTATAACTATACCTTCCGTTCCTGGATGCGGAGAGCAAAAACAAAGTGCCGACGGCGTCGCGGTGGAGGAGGTCATTGGCATAGGTGTCTCAGTTTTCTTCTATTCAATTTGGTTAGCAAGAAAGTATGAGTGATATTACAATAGAGTCAGAGATGATGAGTGTCTTTGCAAAGGAAGGCGGCTCTTGAAAATTGAATAAGGAACTGCACAAGAAAAAGGAGACAAGGATAATTAAGGATGACACGGGAGTATTGTTTTGAACTGCATGAGTTCCTTTAGGCTCTTTAGACCATCCCGACCTCAGCTCAGGTGTTTCATAATAGCATGACTCAGTATCTTCTCAGTTCATTCTCATATGTGTTTTATAGCTTCCTGGAAAAAAATGAGAAAAAAAACATCTGAAGTGATCACAAATCCAGACGACATTCTGCATGAGTTGAACCAAAGAGAATAAAATAGAACTAGAATTTCCAAAACCAAAAGTTATTTCCGGCATTCGTCGTCACGAGTGATCTCTTGCCGGTCGTAAAAGTTATGATGGTTCTTAAGTTATGAGTTGAAATTTTTCATGTGTGAGACGCCATGTGTCCGAGATTCCTGGAGTGGCCCATCCCAGCTTTCCGTCACGTAACCTGCCAGCAAACTGGATCTATCGGAGGAGTAGAGGAAGGGAGATGCAATGACCTCACCAAAAGTTACGCAATCCGATTGTTTAGAGGTGATGAATCCGAATCCCCTCTGTCAAATAAGCGAATAAATCGAAACAAAAAAGTTTATCCAGCGCGCTGGCGTGATGTTAGATGGTAATCGTGCATTAGCTGCCCTCGTGATTGCCTCTGACCCCCTTGTTCGATTCCGATCGCCTACAGCCAGATTACTCTGTGTGAACAAAAAAACATTAAGGAAGATGGAAGAGTTTTTCTTTTTTGACAGGTCGATCTATTGCTAGGTGAGAGAAAAGAAAAAAGAAAAAATCACACTCTCTCACTCTGCCAACTTCCTTAGTCGGATTGCACTAGTGAAGGACATTTAGCAACAGTCTTGAAGCAACTGTCCCATTCAGAAGGACTGTCTCCGGCTGGATGACTACCCCCTCCCTTGCCTCTCCGGTGGCGTAACATTCCGGTTTTCAATTTTTTTTCGCGAACAACGATGTCAACGGTTATCACATTGTCCATCAACACGTCTGCGAGTCTTTGGGCAATGTTATCTTTGTAAGGAATACAAAAAATGGTTAGAAAAACCTGAAATTAGACGAGATTTTCGATCGCGCACATGACACACATGCTAAACACAATCAGCTGACGATTCCTCAACTTACCGTTTACAAGTTTGAAAGTTTAGCTAGGATGACCAAATCTTAGTTCACAAACAAGATAAGGTTTTGGGCGGCGTTTTCGTTGAATTTCGTTTAGATCTCTAGGTTTTTAAATTGGTTTAGTTGTGAGAGTTTCGAGAATTTTTTCATTCGATCTGTTTTGAGTGGATTACGGTAGGTTTGAAGCAAAATTATCATTTTAGGAAGATCTTGAGATTCTTGAAGACATGTTTCTAACTGTAATATTGCCGTCTGAGAAAAAAGGCTGAGAGCGGAACTCATGAAATTTTTCTTGAAGGCGCATGAGCGAACCACCGTATCCTTCGAGCTTATTTTGAATATTTTTCTCCTATTGTCTCAATTTTCGGCAATTTTCTTTGATTCTTAAATGAATTTAAACATTCTGATTCGTGTTTTTCCTATTTACATTGAAAATAAGGCAAAAATTGTCACAAAGTTGAAAAAAATAAAATAAGCTCGAAATATACGGTCCTTCGCTCTTGTGCCATAAAGAATTTTTGCGCCATATCCGCTAGTCTTTTTTTTCAGAAAGCGATTTATCATTTCTGTGTTATCTTGAGATTACATGTTTCTAACTGTACTGATCCCTATCGCTCTTATCTGTCCGTTCATGCCAGCTGATCAGCTGGCGGCAACGAAAATCTCGCAACACGACGTCGCCGGACGAGAAAAGAAAGATTCGAAGAGGTGCGGCAGGCAGCCGGCGGGCACATTGGCTAATTGCGCAACAATCGCAAGGTCGATCACACTTTTCCAATCCTAAATGACCGTAAAAATGCGCCAACCTAAAGAGGAAACCATGTTGTAGAACTAAATGATAAAAACTACTAAACAGATAAGCTCCAGAAGGTTGTGGTAGTGGTGGTTTAACGACCGGTGACTTGCTTTACTTTTTATGATAGCCAGGGTGGTATTTCAAATGAAGGTTGATCATCATCAGGGAATTAGGCCATTGATAGTGCGAAATCGCACAGTTGTCCCAAACTCATTGATATGTTTGCCATTTTTCAAATCTAGCTTATTTTTCAGCTTATTTTTCCAAAGAAATTGTTATTACTCACGATTTTGTCCCAAAGGATTCTGACTAAATTGAGTCAAAATACAATGTGCTAGCAGCTTCTGACGTTTATAATCAAAAAGCTATTTTTTCTTCTCTATTTTTCATTCTTCATCCTTTCCAAAAACAATTTCGAAAACCACATCATTTACTAGATTCCTGGTTTAAGAACCCCTCTCGATTCAGTTTCGATTTTTCTTTTTCAACTTTTTTTGTGTTCATCTCAAAAATGCCAATCCACCTACACAACAGTTTTTCAACAATTTCTAGGTTGAAAACGTTCCTTGAGAAGAGAACAATTATTTCGATTTTACTCCTCCGACAAAATAAAAAACGTTCAGGTGCCCTCTTCTCAAAAGACGGTTTCGGTAAATGTTCCAAGTCTGTCCGGAAACTTACCCTCATTTTTCAACCTTCTTACGTAACCGCCTCCTCCCATTTCGATCGCCGATTTAAACGATTAGCTTGGCGTTTGACCTAAAAAAGCAAAGCTCGTCTCATTCGTTTCTTGGGGTTGCGTAATTGTTTGAACCAGGATTCTTTCTCTTCCTGTTTTATTGTTACAGTAATCCTCGTTTTTCTGGAGCCAACAAGTCATAAAACTCCACTTCTTCATGCTAATCTTCGAGAGAAAAAGTATTTGAATATCCTCCACATTGGCATGGATTGTAAAATTAGTAATACAGAACGTCTAAAGAAAGTGCAAACTGCGTCTTTGTTGTCCCTCATTTCTCTTTTTACCTTCCCCTCCTCTCCCTTTTCTTCAATTTTTCAACCTACATCTTCTTGTCACTTTGCGTTCACCTGTCTGCCTTCTGATGTAGTATATTGAACCGTTTTCCTTATCCCTTCAACTCATCTACTGCCTTACTATTCGTTTTCATTTATCTTTTGTCTTTTTTCGCAGAGATATATACCAGATATCTATCCCGAGGGTTGTAGGAGAAGAAAATGAAGAAGAGATGAAAAGAAATAGAGAAAGATATGTGCTATGATAGCTACTGATTATGTAGCCGTCAAGGAAAAGGAACGCGACCTGTACGGGACGGAGATGGGTGAATCCTTATTATACGAGCGCCTAGACACGGCCAAGGCCAATCTCTGTTCGTGCCGAGAATCATCCCTTCTTTTTCTTCGGTGTGTGGAGGAGCGTTTTCCTTATCCGTAGATGCCGCTATACAATTATGCCTACTGTAGTTTTTCTTCCCAGAACTTTTGAAAAAAACTATTTGAAACAACTACAGAGTGAACGAGAGGCGATGAGATGACACATAGTCGACAATTTTGAAATTCAGTCGAGGGGTCGGACGTCGGTGTGCCCAATTAAAATAGCACATTGAATAGATAGTTGAACTTGTTGATGCGGATCGAGAAAACCGGCCTCAAAGCGTTGTATGATTATGGGGTCGAATGGCAGGAGTAAAGGTTGGGAGAGGGTGGTAAAAAAGAGACCCCGAATAAAAAAATGGCGAGACAGAAGACAAAAATTCGAATATAATAGCGATGTTGGATAGTTTATTCTAGCATTGCGCAACCGCCTCTTCCTCCCGAATCAATTTTACAAAACTGGTTTTGTCGTGTTGTGCCCCCATGTCACTCTCTCCAAGATGAGAAAAAAAAAGAGAACACGAGAATCAAAGATACGCCTGATCCTCAACTCGAAGCAATCATGCTGCCGGTCAGTAAAGCAATTGTGATGTCTTTTTCGACTGTCGTCATTCTTTTCTTTCTTTGCGGGTCACACAGATGCTTCGTTGAAATTTTGAGAACGCGTTTTAGTTTTTTCTCACAGCAAATAGATAGTGCAATGGCATGATTTCATAGCAGCTTGTGAGCATCTGTTCCGAGGCTCCGGCTCCTTTTTTAAGATGTCCTTTTTCCAAAAATCTTTATTACCAATGCACTTTTCTAGCTCTAATGGATGCCACTTACTATCTCGATAGGGCTTGTTGCCATTTTCTCTCACCTCGCCCCCCGCGACTATCTCTACTCCCCGCATGGTATAGCCCCGCCTCCCCCCGATTTCGGGTAGGCGGGAGGAGTCATAGCCTTCAGCTCGCTACTTCACCACCACCACTTTCCTGCTTGCCATTTAACAAGGGTCAAGCAATGGGTACTGTAGTTAACAGAAGCTGAGGTTGATTCTTGGATACTGACTGCTCCGTGAACTTGAACATTTCAAACCTCTTCCAAAATTTCCGCCTCTCGAGCACTTTTACCTTCACGCTGCTACTTGAGCCTACAGTACCCAGCATTGTCCAATGGGCTGCTATGTATGCTCTTTCGCTACTTCTCATAATAAGTATCGAAAAAGTGGTAAATACCCTAGTCGGTGTCAGCCGCCGACGACCTTCTTCTCCGGAGAAGAGCCGCGTCTGAATAACGTTTCGAGTGTTGTACGCGAAATTTTTCAAGTACGGTGGAGGTGGTTGTGGTAGCCTCTTCCTTCTTCGGTTCTTCATTCTTCCTTATTTCTCATATTCCGTCCTCCCAGTATTTCTATTCTCTATTTTTAAATGTTCTTTTGTTTTTAATTTTAAATGCCTTGTTCCAGAATGCCTTACCGTGCCGAACTCAAACGTCCCGACTTAAAAGGCTCCTTCCCGTGCTCGATTTGTCAAAAGGTCTTCTGCCACAGTTCCTCGCTGAGTCGTCATCGAATGCAAGCCCATTTCAAAAGTTATACATGTACCACATGCAACAATGAGATTCCAAGTAAGTTTTGTGTTCAAGGGTGAATCAGTATAGCAGGAGCTTGACTAACAATAGTGTTGAAACAAATTATTATTATTATACCGCTGTATTGAGGTTTTTTAAATGTTTCTTTTGTACAGTTTTTTTCCGCTTTTGTTGAAACTTGAAGAGAGGAAGAAATCACTTAACTCAAGAAAAAGGAAACTTATCGAAAAAGGGGAAGTAGCGAAATCTATCTTCTTGATTGATAGGTACAACGAGATTTCTCACTTTTTCTCTCAGCCTGAATTCTGAATTCGTTTATGTTTCTTTTCGAGGTTCATTGTATATTCTGATCTTTTTCGAATCTAATCGCCTTCTTTTAGCCTATCTGTCCACTGTCCAAAATGCGCGAAAATCGTTCGATCTCCATTACTGTTTACTAACAAGCTTAAGCCCACCTTACCTGCCCCGATTAGCACTCCTGTCTATATTGGGCACGTGTCAAACATGGCAATACACTCGTCTCGGCAGTCCTCCCGAAGATGGAGTGGAAAAAATTACATTCTGTTGTCCAAATATTGACACCTCAACCTTACTACTACTGTATTCTTTATTCTTCTTAATTGTAGTCGTGTATATGGCATGGCAAACTGAGAGTGGGAGGAGGCAAACACAGTAAGGTAGCTCCGAATTGTCAATTAGGTAGGAGGATAAGCTCGCATGATGCCTGTGTAAACGTGTTCGAGTTACAGTAATCCCAATGGATCGAATTAAGTTGGGGCCTTCTTTGATATGATTGTATCTGTCTGGCTATATAGGTCGGCGTCAAAGAAAAGGACCACACCTTGTTGGACCATATTACACTATAGGTTTTATAACAACATGGCTACTATTTGTCTCGCTGGACCCTAATTGCAATAACCCATCTTCTCATTTCCCTTCCGAGAGCGGCTTCCTGTAAGAAAAAGAGGCATAAATAAGCGACGGTATGTATGTATTACTTAATGGTTTCTTTTCTTGGAAATGAAAGAATGAGCGGGAAGGGGGATGAACCTCCAAGGTCAGTCATTTAATGACCATCCGTCAGCTAATTGTTGGCACGACACTATCGCTAAGTGAGCTTGAGTGTTGGCCGAAAAAAAACCAATTGTCTCCAACTTCTTCGCAACCACTTCGTCCGCAACCTTCCGAAAAAAATTGCAACCTCTATTTTTTCTTCTCTTTTCAACAACCCAGCCCCATCCTCACAATTGATTGGTTGTTCGCGTCAATCATTTCTTACGGTTCGACGAGCATGAGGGTCGTTCAAGAAACTTCATCGCAACAATTGTGTCCACATTTTTTTTCTGGTGGAAAAAAGAGAAACGTGGCAGCAGAAAACAGAGGCGGCAGGATGTTAGCCGCACGATCAACGGGATTTAGTTATGTTACTCTCTTGCGCAATTGAACAATAAGCGGATCAACCTGTTGAATAACGAAACATAACATGAAAACGGTTTAAGCGTTTTACAGCCTGACCTCTTGTATCTCTTGTATCATCAGCTGCCTATTTTTTGCTGCTTTTGTCGGCGGGAAGATAGACAAAGAAATACAAAAACAATCCATAGTATTACTCATTGTCCACCGTCTGTACTATCCAATTCAGGCACTGAATTTTAAATAAGGGGTGGAAATTAGGGGAAGACCATTTGTCACATTGGCGCCTAACATGCCTTTATACGGTTCTCAGTGTGTTTTCAATGTTGCGATACTCCATTTGATTGATAGACATGGCTCGGTGGCACAAAGAATAGCAATTAAGGGGAATATGGAAATTGCGATAGGTTGTGTTGTTGGCAAATCGTGTGCGCTAATGTTACATATCGGGGGATAAAATTGGAATTTGAAAGCCGACACTTAGTGAATGCGAGCCTCATAATTACCATAACAAAATTGAATGAGGGCTCCTAAGACACACCACATCAAAACGAATCATATTCCAGGCAACGACACCCTGCGCAGCCACATGTACCGTGTACACAACATTACCAGAATGTTTATGTGCCGATGTTGCAATTGGGCTTTTCCCGACAAGACAAGTCTTCATATTCATATGCAAAGTATGCTGAAAAATGGGACACCGGGAGAAGCAGCGGTACTCGCCAAAAGCTCGGATGGTAGGAGGCGACCGAGTCAACATTGGGAGGCTACGGAATTTCTTTCAGCAGTGGATAGTAGCTCGGAACAAGGATCACCAAGAGGCTCACCAGTGTTTTCGGCGGATCTTATGATGCAAAAGAGAATGCTCCAAGCTGCAGCAAACAACAATAACATTGGATCCATTTTCCCGAATCTGTTGAAAAGTCCCGAATCTTCAAAATCAGTTTTCCCACTGGATCTATCGAATATGGGTCCCTCTCAATTCTTATCAGCATGGCTTGCAAACAATCACCCTGTGAACAATTCGACACTTAATCTGGCAGCCCAACAAACTCCTTCCAAGGTGAGCAAAATAGTATCAAACACACGTTTTCTGATTTCTAAAGTGTTTCAAATTTAAGGATTCTCTCGAGTCTCCCAACATGAGCGATTATGACGAGTTGGAAGTGCAAACCACTGAGGAAGATCTCAAGTTTGAAGTGGAGAGCACCGACGTCAGTCCTCGATCGGTCATTGTAAAAACAGAACCGACCTGTAAAAGAAAACTGGAACACGAGGCTGATATTGATGTGGAGGGTGACGACGTAAGAAACTAAAACTCAATAAGACGCCTATTAAATGTTATTTTTTAGGGAGAACCACCACTAAAAATGAATATCGATGAGAAAGACATTCATATCTCACATGATCAACCATCCCCAACAGTTTCTGACTCGCACATTTCCGGAGGGTCTTCGAGTCATTCCGGAGAGAGCTCAAAGTGCTTCGATTGTCAGGTTTGTAACATCAATGTTTCTGATTTGATCCGCTAATAGAGCATCTGCAAAAAATAACAAATTTCAATGTTTCAGGTCGCCCGGGGAAAGCTTGTAGCCGTCGAGGATAAATGTCGTGCTTACGAAAAAACCATCAGAGATTTGCAAATCCAAATCGACATTTTCCGCAAATTCCAAGCAGGTCCGATGCCTCCGGTTATGCTTCCCTCCCCAATGATGCCTATCCCGCCTCCTGGAGCCAACAGTTTCCTCCAAAATCCTGCGATGAGAATGTTGCTGAACAATCTTGTCCATATGAATCGCCCGCCAATGATCCCATAAATCATACTCATCCGTTATCTTGATACCAAAACCCTTCAGTCCTGTTCAGTCTAGTGATACCAATGTAGTCATTTTTCTCCCCCCCCCCCCCCAA